CCTACTCAAGACCCATGCTGGGTCACATGGTTATTTACGTCATTTACGCAAATTATCGTTATATAATCTACTGATCCGCCCATCATTTGTATATCACCATATATTCAAAATATGCAAAAAGCGACCGTCACAGAAAATGTCAAACCTTCTCCAAAAACTTCTTCACAAAGATATCGAGCCTTTGCTTTAAACATTAGTGTAAGATTTCACATTCACAATTAGTTCAAGAAACAAACGTCGCAATATTTGCATCTAAGTACGGTAAAGCTGGTAGTAGGACATGGTGGCACAAATTTCAATTGTTAGCCTTAATTATTAATCAATCTGGACCCCCCCTTTGAGAGACAATTACGGCCTTCGTGCTTGGGACTATGGTGTTAATTGATCGCCCATACACAGTTGACTCAGCTGATTTTAGTAATAGTAATAAAAGGCATTCGTACTACGGTATCATTTTCGCCTGGCGCTTTTACTGCATCGTGTAATCGCCACACAGGCTAACTGCCATTAGTAATCAAATGATACTATGGATAGGCGTAATTGTGTTCGGGAATAAATTTTTCGCTTAATTATAATGATTACAATAGCTGTGGAAGATATTTATCAAGAGTACTAATGATAAACCGCATGGGTGATGTTAACTTCTTGGTAAATAGACAGGGTAGAAGAATTCAGAATACGGAACAAAAAGTTTGCAATGAATAGGGTGTTGGCCTCTGTTTGTTGGTAATATCGATAAGGGATATGAGAGAAAACGAGTGCAGTTAAGTGGATGAAGCTCTCGGAGAATACAATTATCTATATCGAGAAGTCTTGTTTTTCTTCTTTCAAAACAATAAATCGGCAGCTGGTCATGACATTTCCTATTTGGTTTAAGCATACATTTGGGGAACACTAACGCTAACCACAAATGACTAATTTTTCGGTCACTTGATGATCACGCACGAAGATAAATTGTGACACAGCCTAGACATGACCAAATATATGAAAATTATTGTTCCTTTTTTATAAGAAAAAGAATCGTAATTCGAGCACAATACTGTCACAAGTTGTGATAAACAATAGTATAAACGTCATATTTGGTTTCGATTTTGAAGACCCGCGGGATACAATAAAGATTTCTGCATACTACGGTTAATAGATTTTGCTTAATAATACTGTTTGCATGTTTCATTTTAACATTAATTAATTAATTAATTTGCAATTGTTTATATCAGGCTTTTTGCGCCGGGAAATAAAGTATTTGTTAATTCCTTTGTCCTCTACCTCATTGCGTTTTCGAACGGATTGAAAAAAAGACGTCATTTTCTTTAATAACTAAATTATACCTGACTGTCTATTCATTTTTTGGCTGCCTCATTGCAATTTGTTACCATACAAATTTAACTGGTCGTCACTACGCTTGTTTAGATCTTTTTAGTGACAACCGATAACGATGTCCGATATTTTGCATGAAAGATTATTACTTGTGTTTTAGGACTTTTGGCAATGTACAGATAATTGGGATTGACGATTCGGAATATAATTTTCCGAAATCTCTACTAACATTTATTGACATTGTAATTCTATGGACTGTACAGATTGCACGTATGAATTACGCAACTTTATTAGCATTTTTTAAAACTATATTTAGTTAACCTTAAGGTTATACGACAATTTGCTATTTTGCTTAGTAGTCGAGATTTTAAAATTAGATTTTACTAATTGATCTTCGGAATCTGCGAATACCATTTTGACGTGGGGTGTTTTTGAAATATTATGTAGTGTTTGAAAAACTTTGTTTTCTAAAGAAAAATTGTTGATTCGGATGTAATGTGTAATCGTGCCTTATGCATATATGTTTATTGATTCACAACATACAAAAAAGTGATTGGCTTCCTGATTGAATGCAATATATCTAAATTTGTATTCTAGTAGGATGTATGGCTTGCTCGACCCTTGTTTCCACAAAAAATTCTCTTTGTTACGACAAATGGGTCCAGACCATAATTCATCGATCGGCGATATCCATTGCGTTGCTTAGTTGTTTAGGGTCTCTCAAAAAAACTTCAGATGACGTCAGATATGTATTATTTATTCTAGTGGTTCCTTTCATGTATCATGCATCAATGACGAGGATAGGTGAAAGTTACAAATATTCATTTATACGTTGATCGCAAAGTGCTCTCATCGAACATCGATGGCGACATCGACATCGAGTTTTTGGTTTCTATTGTTGCAACAATAAGGCATAAGGTCGCGCGAATGTTTCGAAAGACTCATTTATTATAAATAACCACATTTCCCGTCAGATTTTCAAATCGCCATTTTTTTCTTCATCACAGATACAAATAGACCAACTCGTAATATTACGTGCCTGAAAAAATTTACCTGGTTTTGTAAGACACTTGCCCTTTTTCGTAGCTAATAGCATCGTGCAGATGATTACAGCACTTCCGCAAGAAGTATTAGAAATTATTTTCAAGTACTTGGAAATGCCCGAGCTAGTTAATTGTTCTCTTACGTGCTGGTCACTTTATCGGGTTTTTAGCATTCAGCAATACGGTTTAACTCGACCAGAATGGCACAATGTCCCGTATAGTATTCCCAACAACAAAATGGCCGAACACCGATTATATTATCGCAATGCCGTGTTAATTGGCACAACGTTATACATAGTTATTCTTTCTCTCGAACATCCAATTTGTTGGAAATTAGATTTGAACGAAGAAAATCCTAAATGGGGAAACGATTTCGTGAGTGTGTGTGATTCGTATCGTCCTGTCAAATATCCGGCAACGTTATCAATTCGGGATAAAATATATATTCATGGCGGCGTTGATCTTCTTACCGGACAACCTACAAGTATTCTGTATGAGTTTGATGTGAGTAGTATGCGACTGCTTGTTCTCATGCAGAAGGGTACTGTTCCGTATCCTCGTTCAATGCATACACTCAGTGCGCTTGACTATAACCGCCTCGCTATTTACGGTGGCCGATGTATTGCTAATGGTAACACAATCACTATTTGAGTTATATATATGTACATGTAATATGGATAGTAATAGAATAATTGACAAAAACATCGTTTTTTGAATGTCAGGGATACCGTATAATACAAAAAGTTTTGCAATATATGACCTTACGAGCAAAATCTGGACAAGCTATAATCAAATGCCTAATATGCCTTATGCAAGATCACTTCATTGTACAGTTCAAACGAACGATAAACTCTACATTTATGGTGGACAACACATTGATTCTGAAGGAATAACCAAAGTTCACGATGATGAGTGTGTCTGGACATATGACATACAGCTTTATAAATGGCAAAAGTATCTCTCCCCCGCTCGCGAATTAAATATATTTTCATTTAAACTTCCAATCGATTGGTTATCGACCATCGGATGGAAACAGAGTCCCGGTCGCTGTTCGGGTGCAGCAATGGTTAGCTTGAGCGATCGGATTGTCATAATAGGTGGATTGGTAAGTGACGGCTGGGAGAAAAATAAGATAGATAAATATTGGGAATTTTTAAAAATATTTTCACTGTCAAAAAGATCTTGGCATCACATTAGAGTTCGGGATCTCCCGTGCATGCAATGCGTTGCATTTCTCGCTAATTGGAACTGTTGTATAAAAAAGGTTTTTGTTATAGGCGAAGATATAATTACGGGAGAGATGGTGATGGGATGGATAGTTGGTTAATCTTTAGACTCAAAATAATTCGAATTAAGCTTTTTTAAGATTAAGACTTTTTAAGATTAAGACAAGTCGGAAAAATCCGTTTTTCCAAAAGACCAAATTTTAAATCACAAGATTTTACTACGTAAAGTAAGCATAATGTCGTTAAATTTATTTTCTTATAGAAATATACCTTTTTCTTTGATGGAGTGAGCATATGACTGAGAATAAATGCATATGTGTTATGGTTTGACGAACAATTTGTTTCCATGGTGATATGCGCGCGAACAAATTTGCGCATTGTGTGACAGAAGCGATAGTACAATCATTATCAATTAGAATATTAGAAGTTATTATTTCAACTAGATAGCTCGCCTATTAAACCCTGTTCTACTTTTTGATTGTATGAAATTTTCATTATTGAGGAACAGCTCTTAAGAGTGCCTTTACAGGCATGAGTTTCGCTCTCAGAAGTAATGGTACCTTGTACTTGATCGATAAAGCTTGATTCTGATTGGGTAATTTAAGTAGGATGGTTCCGATAAAGTATTGTCCAAAGATAAGTTTTGATCCCGTGATTCTGGCTTCATGGCTTTCTAAAGATTGTCTTAATTCTGCATTCTCACGCTTAACTATAGCATTCTCATTTCTAAGTTCTGTATTCTCCGCCTGAAGCTTGGAATTCCTTTAATAATTTGATTTTGGATTGCGTATTTGCCATTTTTATATAAAATACAAATATGTTTAATTATGTTAGCGAATAAAAAAATCATGACGCGTTCTTTTTGGAACGCCGATCACTTTTGCCAACCAAAAAATAAATTACAAAGTCGGATGGGTAAAAACCTGTGATAAATGTCGATCGAATATCTGTACCACGGAATAAATTAGAAAACTATATATTTAGTATTAGTCTGTTTGCATACATGTTAATTTCCAGAGTTCATTCAGCTGGTTAATAAACAATTTAAGAGAGCCATGGCAGAAGGAACTGATTGCAGCGTTTGTGATACCTTTCAGGTAAGGAGAGAAAGAGCAGGGAAAAGAAGCTTTTAATATTTAAAAAGTCATATTTTATATAGAACGAAGGGAAAATTGACACCTTGCGGTCCAACAGGAAAAATAGTATTCCTAGACAAGTTTCAACTGATACCAATTATTACGCTTTACGATGCTTGGAGTCTCCTTTGGAGTTACGCGCATCGGCCCCCAAAGAAGATGACAGTAGAGGAGCAAATCAAATATCTATACGAGAGTCAGGAACGCTTAGCACAGAGTATAGTGATAATACAACAAGATCCAAAAGTGCGTCCGGCAACAGCGAACCTCACATACTCAAATCAAATATCGAAGCGGAAAGGCAAAGATGTGAAATTCATAATGAGTTCGTCGATTCGTTGCCACCCAACAGTGAGGAGGAGTAAATGCAAGGATGGAGAAAATACAGATATTACGTTGGGCAAAGAACATGAAGGATGGCCTAACACTGAAAGAATTGGGAAAATGCAGGGAAACTGCTCAGAGTTGGTTCCCTGGGAGGCGATGGTTGGAAAACGATTGTCCCCCGGAAAACGTGTCACCTTGTACACGCGGACGCTCGCTTTACCAGTAAAGGAAAATCAATCGCCGAAAATCCTACAACCATGTCTCAAGTGCAATAATGTGAAGGAAAAAACGGAAAAACGTCGCGTTACAACGATTTGCTCATCTTAGTTGATGCATTTAAAGATAATTCTCGTATTGCAGCCTTGGTTGATTATGAAGTTCTTGATAGTAATCCTAAAGAACCAATTTATCATATAAGATGTGTTGCTGGCTTTGGCTTTGATCATATAATTAATATCGGAGAGATTGATTATGGAATAATTTTTTTAGACTGCTATGGTCGTGTTTTTTTGTGGAAAAATGAGAGTCAAATGCTATGGCCACTTGGTAATTCTCCTGAAGAAGCATCGAAAGGCTTTGTTAAAGGGGATCAGTTGAGATGGTTTGAAGAGAATGGAACTGTATATGAGTATATTACGAAATGGGAAGATTATTATTAGCTGCTTATCGGACATTCTGACGGCTCTATAGGTAGCAGGATATTATCATATGGATGGAATTATTGCTCGGCACATACAGTCTGTCTCAAAAAAAACCGAAATTAAAAAAAAAGGCAATTAGATAATAAGTACTGTAGCAAACTGCATAAGTAAGAATTTGTTTGAAAGGTAAAAACGGATTAATTTTATAAATAAATTTTAGTATAGAATTCGCTCGCAATAACAAGCTCACAACGCCGCCTCATTGAATTTACAAGATTAATTAGAGTCAATCCTGGTATTTTTTCCCACTCCTCAACCATAAACTGCTTCAATTCAGTCAAATTTTTTGGCATTCGCCTTTCTACGTTCCTCTTAACTATACTCCACAAATTTTCAATTGGATTCAAGTCAGGACTATTAGCCGGCAAGTCCATAACTTGAGGAACATTTTCTTAAAGAAATAACGGGGGCTAGACGGCCTGTATGCTTTGGATTGTTGTCCTGTTGAAAGCGCCAATTTCTTTCACCTAACATTTGTTTATTTCAGGAATGCGATCTTGCAGAATGTCAACATAAAATTGAGCATTTATTATGTTTTCGAAGCAGAATAGCTGCGTTTTTCCTCGTACACAAAACCCGCCCCAAGCGAAATTTTTTCGTCTATCTTTTGGCATAGGCCGAATGAGCTTTGTACCTTTATGCCAAACAGTAATAGTATTACGGAATAACTGGAAAGATGTCTCATCTGAAAATAATGTCTTTTTTCAGTTATCCTTCAGATGACGTTTAGCCCATTCGACTCGTTTTCTCTTGTGGTCCGCTGTAAGCATAGGCGTAGCAACAGGGTGGTTGTTTTGGTACCCAGTCCGAGCCAGATGCCGAGCAATTGTTGAACGGGAGACTTGTATATTCCGTGCTAGCAGTTTACTTTCTAAAACCCGCGTAGATATAGAATGATTTTTGCGTATGTATTCCGCACGCAGTAATTTTGCGTCGTCGCCATTTCCCCCAGCATGAGCATTAGTGCCATTTTTTTAATATTATCATAAATTGTTGAAAGTGATATGTTCGTTAACATACAAGGGAAAGGAAACGGTGGAAAGGAGACCGCCCTGCTGTGGCTGCTGTAGCTTTGACCAGGCCATGATGTACGGGAATCCGGAACTAGTCAGGTAGTTACATAATCTAATAGCTTCTTTTGAGCAGTAGGCATTATTAACGAGCTGTTTACCTTCGATCAGTGGGAATCGCAGCGAACACGAATATATCATTTGAAACCATGGCAGATCGTGAATGAAGGAGGCTAGGTAATTACAGAAGAACCTTTATCCGGTTTCAAGTCATTATAAAATTTGCCATCAACACGTTCGAGTATAATACAACGACCTGTACATTGTTATTGTACAATGTTATGTTCATATTCAGATAGTTCGAGATCTTTGTTTACAAATAGTAACAACAGGTGAACAATGACATTAGTAATTGGGCACGTTCAATTATTGTTTAATGCACTCAATCATCACTTGCGACTATGGAGATTGGAGAATCGTTCATTTAGTCGAGAAAAGTTAGTAAGTGTTAATGAGTGCTTGGAAGGAGAATGAGAGTAAATATGCTATGTTATAATAAGGAAACGGCCTTTGCAAATCGATTTTTAATATCTATTTATGTTTGCCCTGGAAAAAGAAAAATTCAAATGTTGTACCTGAGTGCTGGACCTGTGTCAGTTCTGGACTCAGTTGACTGGGTTCTGAACTGAGACAACTGAGTTCTGACTGAATGTCTGAGTTCTGAACTGACACAGGTCCCGGACTCAGACACAACAACCCCAATGATTTGAACCTTCCATACCGTTTGAGCGTTCTCCATCACATTCGTAACTGCTTTGACAGTTCCCTTGGTTATGACACGAGCCACATTCACCTGTAAGTTTCCTCAAAAATTATTAGCCGCTGGTCAGTTAATGACAGTAAAAATCAAAAACATTACCTCATCTAGACAAATCTTTTTCCGTTTTCTTGAAATTTTGGCTTCCATAGAACGGTTTTCGATATCATTCCAATATTCATCAATGTCGAGGCAACTACTATGATGATTCTACGAGGACGATATTCACGGGTTGAGAATGTGATATGACAAAGGCGGTCAAAGTAAAAAAACAAAAAGAAGACTGACAAGGCAGACCACAACGGGATCAATTGAACGCCGTAAGGTCAGGTGGCATGTAGGTACCCGCCATAGTTGTGTGAGCATGAAACCCCTTCTCGGGACTCTGGAGGGCCCCACCTCTGCAAAAGAGGCCGTTTATGCCAAATCTGCAGACCATGACGGGATGACACCCTTAAAGTGGACGGCACGTAGGCATCCACCGTAGTGTATTTCCCCTTCTCGGGACTTAACAGGGCCTTCCATACTGCCACCAGTCAATGTCGTGTCGCGTAAAAGAAACACTCGCCTTAAATTTTCTTTTCAATCGCTCAGCGCCTCGCTTGACGTTATCAACTTCGTGTTCGATCATGAATTCAAGGCACTTGTACAAATTGAAAGCCTCAGACCGGAATTGAAGGTAAAATCGCTTTGATTCCGTCAGCAGCGGTAGAAATCGAGAAATCTATAGTTCTCAGGTAGAGTTTGTTGGAAATAAATGTACGAACTCGCTTCCATAACGACGCGAACGACAATGTAATAGTATCATAACGTTCATCATAATGATAACGCATTGCTAAATGTAAAGCCTAATTTCTTAACTCCGCGCAAATATAATTGAAATAATTGGTATGGCAGAAAAGGATAGACCCGAACTCGACTTCTGGTAGGTGTTCTCTACCTGCGGACGAACCATTTACCTGGCATTGTAGAAGCACTTGAACGTTCTCAAGTATTATGAATGTAGAGTGTTTAGTGCTTATGTGCATAAAGTAGAATCTGAATGATATTATTTGCACTTCTGGTCCTTCTCCGATCTTTTAACCAGAAAAAACCGAAAAACACACTTCGATTATTTGAAAGAAGTAACGGACTGAGTGATAATGCGGTATATCATATTTATGCGTACATTTTAATTGTCTATCCTGAATCTTGAAGGGTTTCTACAACGTGCACATTGAAGATGGGTTTTACATAGCACAGAATGTGTAAAAGACGTCTTCCGTTGTAAAGTATCTGGGAGGTTCGTAAGCATTGTACATTTTCATAACGCAGTTCTCCAAACCGTCAGTCAATTCTTATATCAAATTGCTTTATTGGAATAAATTTCTTCTGGCGGCGCGAAGAAAGGTCTGCCAAATATCACGATTAATGGCAGAAATGATGATTGAAGTATGGGGTCGGAAGAGTATGATATGAGCACTTACTACTCGCAGAGAGTCTTCACTACCGTTCTGACTTTCATAATACCTTTGGTTGTCAGGTAACTTGCAAGATCTGGAAGATCGTGGCAGCATCACCTATTGTAAACTGACCAGTCAGACCTCTCTACTTTGACAAATTTGACACATATCTTTGATTGTTACCTTTGCATTATAATGTTATATTTTGACTAGGTGCTGGGTGGGGGTAGTTACTTCATAACATTGCAAAATCTTTTAATGCTTATGGTATTAGATTTTTCAATAAACCATATTGTAAAACCTTCATAAATGCAACCGCCATAAATGCAGTCTTTTCCTAAATGCAGCATGTTGCTTGATCCCAAGCTTGGGACTTAGTGAATAAATACATACAATCTGAACAAATACATTCATTACAAACATTTCAACAATGAATACGTCAACTCTCCAGACAAAACACAGCGAAGCATATCTCAAGTATCGCTAGCTTGCAAATAAAAAGCTCACGGTAATATTCGTTTTTCCTGATATGTGAAAATTATTGCGGCGTTGAACTTCTCTATTATTCTTATGTTTGCCAGTATG